TACCATGACATCCCTGGAAGCGGTCCGATGCGCGGCTGTCAGAATATTCACCAAGCGGCACAAGCATCACCACGATCGAGTGTCAGAACACTTTCCTCAAAAGCAGGCCTGGATCCCTTCACACCACCCCTCAGTTCACCACATCCCAGCAACCACTAAGCTACTTCCAGTGTCTATGGACCTGGCCCCTCTGGACAAAGCTTATCAAAGGAACGTGACACCACGTGGCCTTGTGTCTGGCTTCTTGCACTCCGCATGTCTTCAGGGGTCACCCAGGTCACAGCATGAGCCAGTACTCCATTCCCTTCTAGGGCAGAATGATATTCCACTGTACAGATGTGCCACACTGTCTCCCATTCATCAATGGACGGACAGTGCCAAACGCTTTATCTTGAAAAGTGCAAACATACAGCTGCAGAGCAATAACACGGAGTTGGCTAAAGTGAAAGTAAAAGAGGCTAAATGAGGGACAGAGCGTCCGGGCCCGAAGATGGCCGAACTCCAGAAGGAAGATGGCTGCTCCATTGGACGAGGACGAAAAAGCCATCTGTGCAGCTGGAGCAGGAACTAACAGTTACAAACCAGAACCGGCTGGAAGACAATGAAAGGAGTCAAAGGCGGGAGGCTGAAGAGCCGGGCTTTAGCAGGCGCAGGTGGACGACACGTAGTGGGATTCCGGGATTGGTTACGGGTACGTGGTCTTCCATGTTTCAGTTTTTCATGGCATGGTCCCTGGCAGCACAGGTTTTTCCGGGAACCTTCTAGAAAAACCGTTCTCTCAATCACGTCTCTGTCAGAGGGTCCACTGTAAAGACTCATGCTGTGCATCGAGACCCTTCAAGTATAAGCTGGTCTTTCTCTCATCTGTTTGATCACAGAGGAAAGACCCTCTGGGAACAGACTGTGACCTGTGCCTGTCAGACCTCGGACAAGAACATCTCCTTCAGGGCGCCTGGTCAGCATCAAGGCTAGAGGAACTGCTGTTAGAAACCAAGAAACAAACACACTGCTGTCGAGTTGGGTCTGACTCACAGCAACCCCTCCTTGGGTTTCCGAGGCAGTATCTCTACAGAAGTAGATTGCCCAACCTTCCTTCCAAGGAGTGGCTGGTGGGTTTGAACCACCAGCCTTCTGGTTAGCAGTCAAATGCCTTGGGCACTACGGCACCAGAGCTCCCGCTGTTAGAAAAGGCAGCTTTAAAAGTCAACACGGATCCTAGACTCACGTCAAGACTGTAAAATGGAGCTAAGACTCTCTTTCAGACCGCTGCATTCACACACCAGATGCCCCTGGTTCGAAGCTCTTAGCATCGCCTAGAGACCTGTACTACACCAGGAGTTTTGTAAAAACAGCACGTTTCTTTTCAACATCCAGGTTTCATTAGGCATCAGAAGAGCACAGATTCAATCTATGTAACTTCATTCATTTAAGAAATGTTAACTAGCCGTCTGTTTTCTGTCAAGTACTAGGGAACACTAACTTTGAAGTCTGACTGCCTGGGCCCATGTGCTGTGTGACCCTGGGGGACTCACGCTAAGCCTGTTTATTGTCGCATGTGGAATTCTGTCTGTCCTGCCTAGTCACAGCATCTCCACAGTCGGTGGCGGTGATGCTTACACAAGCGACGCGGTGAGCGGGTGGCACGGGATAACCATCCGTGTCACTGTCACGAAGCCTGGTCTCTAACAGATGGGAATGGCCGCTAACTGCGTGGTGTCACTGCTGCTGTGTGTGGGCCGATGGTGTCTGCGGCCAGGGCCGCCTGCCCGGGCCTCGAGATGACCCGAGTTTAGGCCGGGCCATGGCACAGATCCAGTCCCGGTGGGCTGCGTGAAGCACACATTAAGTCAGACCTGGGACGAACCCCCTGCCTTGATCACTCACCAGTAGATGACAAGAAAATGATCTCATTTTTATGCCCCTGCTTCCTCATATACAAGGCACATTCACGTGACACTCACGTGAAACCCAGTATGGAAAGCACATGCCATGGCGCAGAGTACAGGCTGTGGAATTCAGTCGTCAGGCGGGCGTGACCTCCAGCATCACAAGCTGTCCCTCTGCTGTGCGGCTGGGAGAGCCCTCCCGAGGCACACAGCCTAGGCTCTGACCCAAAGAGCAGGTTTTGAACACCGGCTGTGTAACCTTAGGCAAGTTACTTAACCTGCTGAGCTCGCTTTCCTCGTCTGTAAAATGGGCACATAACACAACAACAGAGGTGTTACACAGACTAATAAAGTACTGCGCACAGTGCCTGGTACTCAGGAAACCTTGAGTGAATGCTGGCTAGGGCCAGATAACCAGTTATGGAGCACAAAACCCCAGGTGTCATCTTTGATGCCTCTTTCCCTACCACACTCATCCAACCCAACAGCAGTTCCTGCCCGTTCTTCCTCAGTAAATTCTCCCAAATCCATCTACTCTGCTCCACGTCCACTGCCTCTGGGCTAGTCCAAGCCTCTGTCTCGCACCCCGCCAGCTGTAACAGACTCCTACCTGGTACCCACTTTGTACAAGGGACATCAGCAACTTTTCTGTCAAGGGCCTAATAGTACGATTTTTTTTTTTTAAGTCAATTCTGCCACTGTATTTGAAAGCAGCCGTGGCAAAGACAACACTGAAAGAGGAATGGGCAGGCCCACGTGCCAGTAAAACTTTATTCAATGGAGTGGAATCTGAAGTTCACATGACTTTTGCTTGTCATGAAATATTCTTGGGATTTTTTTTTCCCCCCATTCCTAGCTTGGGGACCTGACACAAACAGGAAGTAAAGCACACTGGACCAGCTCACGGCCGGCCTGACTGCTCTATGCTTAGCGAAACTCTTACAGACAGCTCAACCCTAGAAACGCTTCCCACCACCTGAAAACAGAACTTAAAAGCTTGCCTCCGCCTCCCATGACCGGGCCCGCCTAACGCGCATCTCCTCCGTCAATTTAAACTGAGCAGCAGCCAACGCTGGGCCCGCCCTCTCTCCCGGCCCCAGGTCCTTTGCACATGCCGACTCCTCACGTGCAATGTTCTTTCCATACACCCCGCAGGTGCCAACTCCAAGGGCCCCCCCTTGATCGCCACCACCGGTCCCCGTACACCCCCCCGGGTCGTCTGCTTCCCGGCACCCAGCCGTCCGGCTTGCGCTACCCGCGGGGCGCGACACAGGGAAGCCGCGCAGTGTCTGCGGCTCACCTGGTCGGCGCCGAACGGCGTGATGTTGGCCTTGACGGTGCCCACGCCGAGGCCGACGACCACGAGCCCCAGGAAGGTGGCAGGCGCGCAGTAGCGCGGGGGCCCGTCGTGGCAGGCGGCGCTGCCGTTGGGGAAGGGCGCCGAGCAGTTCTCGACAAGCGCTGGGCGCAGGGGTCCGCAGAGCGCGGCGCGCGTGGTACCCGCGGCGACAAGAGGGAAGGCCAGCATGCCCAGCAGGTAGAGCGCCAGGCTGAGCACAATGGCGTTTGCCTTGCCGAGCAGCGCGTCGGCCAGCCAGCCGCCGAACGGCGACACCAGGTAGGTGACGCCCATGAAGAGCAGCAGCGCCTGACTGGCCTGCGCGCCCTCCCAGCCGAACGGCGCGCCGTTCAAGAACAGGACCAGGTTGGCCGTGACGCCGTAGAAGGCGGCGCGTTCCAGCAGCTCCGTCAGCAGTACAGCGCCGCACGCCGCGCGCCGGCCCGCGAACGCCGACACCGCCCGCCGCGTGACGGAGCCGGAGGAGCCCAGGAGCGGCGTCCGCTCGTCAGGACCCGCCATCTTTGCCGTCGCCCGCCGGGCCTCCGCGAGCCCGCAGCCACCGCCCTTCTCGCGAGACCTCGCGGGTGTCCCTCCCATTGGACGGGCACGCTGTCGCTCAGCATGCCGGGAGCCTTCCGCTTCCGCCCCGGAAACGGCGGGACAGCGAAGCCGCTTCCTGGGGAGAGGGAAGTGAGGCGACAGGCCTGGTCGCCATCGTGGTCCCGCGGTGGGTGTTTCTTAAACGAAAGGGAAGCCGATACTCCGGTATTGCAAGCCCTTACCGGCGGCCATTGGACAGCTGAAAGCCTGCCTCCTCCAACGGCCTGAAGGCTCTGCGTGCTCTGGGCTCATTTCCCAGGATGAGCGCCTTGCCCATCGCACCCCAGCCGCCCGGCCCCACTTGGGGTCCTGGATCAAGGCTTTATCCACCTCAGCATTGCTGACTGTTGGACCCTCGTAGCTGTTTGTGGTGGGGGCTGCCCTGTGCATTGCACGGCGTTTGCAAGCGTCACTGCCCCTCCCCACTAGATGCCAGTACCAGCCCCCAGACTGTGACACCGAGACGTCTCCGCACATCGCCAGACGTCCCCGGGAGAAAAATCCTTTGAGAACCACTGCCCTGGGACGAGGCTAGTTGGAGCCCATTCCAGGTCTTAGCAGAGAGCTTGGCCTCAAAGCACGCGTTGTCAGACGGCGCCGTCGACTAAATATTGGCCCTGAAACCAAATAAAGCAAATCTCAACTATTTCCCCCAGATAATTAGAGTAGATAGGACCCCGGTTGGGAATACATAAGTAAACTTAGTTACTCTCAAGTATTTCCCCACCCCGTTAAGACTAATAGGACCCGGTTGGAGACCGATGAGTAAATATTTAGCTCCGTTCCTTAAGAACTGAATGGAACAAAAAACATTCTTTCCTGCTATTTCCTTAGGCACAGGTGATAAACACGGAAATGTTGAGCATGTACCTGAGGTAGATACATCCTTGAAGAGAACAATTGTGGGAGAATAGAAGGGCTGTGTATGCACCGGGAGACAGCTCGGGGCAGGAGTGCACGGAGGGATGGACGCAGGAACAGTGTTCAAGGCTGCGGTCCTGCTGGGAACCCTAGCTCCATTTTGAGTCTTGGTGTAAGTCCAGACGCCGTTTGCGTCCTTTCTGGCCATCAGACCAGCAACATGGTGATGCTGGGACAAGTCTGGGGCAAGCCCAGGCTTACAGAGGAAGAAGGAGTTGGCTGGGCTGCTCTTAATGGTTTATGGAAAATAGCCGCAGGTTATCTTATCTAAAAATTGTCCTGGAGGATTATCTTGTAGGCTCACGTGGTCCTGAGCCAGAGCCTGGCCACTAGGTAACCAGGTGGTCATGCCCCATAAGCAGTCCTGTAAGCTTTTTTTTTTAATTGTGATTTGGGTGAAAGTTTACAGAGCAAATTCACTTTCCGTACAGCAGTTCACACACACATCGTCTCATGACATTCACCACTATTTACCACAATGCAACAACAGCTCCCCTCCCACTTCTTCCCAATAGTCGCCTCTTCCCTGTGTCCATCCCTCCATGCACTCCTGCCCCCTGAGCTGTCTCGCTGTGCATACACAGCCCTTCTTTCTCCCACGATTGTTCTCTCCAAGGAGAGTAGCTACCTCAGGTTCAACTTATATGCCAGTCTTTTGTTTGGCTGGAAGCCACAGGTGTGGGTTCAATTCCAGCCTTGAAGGGCAGCTAGGGGCCCAGTCTCGGGTTCCACCAGGCTCTGTCAGACCAGCAAACCTGGTTCCTTTCTTTTTTTTTTTTTTCTCCCCAAATGCCAATGCTGTGAGCTTTTTAACTTGCAGGCATGGACTTAGGTCCTTTGCCCTCATCTGTCATCTCAGGTGAGCGTGATGGATCGACCTCCCACCAGTTACGCTCTTTGCCCTGTGTTCTACCATCCAATGAAAACCATGGTCGTGAGTCGGCAGATGCCATCGGCCTCTGTGCTGTGTGCACGCGTTACGGTTTCTTCCTATGCTTGTTTTGTTCTTGTCCTGGTTAAGGCTAAATAGAAGGGTCTCTGTAGAATATATTTCAGTCTGAAGTCTTTATTTCTCCTACCACATTCTTCACCCCCAGTACCTAGGATGATGCCTAGCATGTGGTAAAGTGAAGGAGTGTCATCCCAAAGTGGCCACCACCACAATGCAAGAATTTACTTTGTTCAAGTGAGTAAAACTCTCCCATTACGTCCTCCATCCATCCTTCCAACAAAGACCAGCCGTTACTTACAGGATGAAGTTTGCCCTAAAGTCAGTCATCTGATAAAGTCATCCCAAGCCAATCTTATTAATGAGGCCTGAAGTGGCATGTATTATCTTTAAAAAAAAAAAAAAAAAAA